GTGCCTGTAAGGATGGTAAAGGCTTGCGTGGGTGTCACAGCGATTACTGTGTGTGTGTGTGCGTGTGCGTGTGCGTGTGTGTGTGTGTGTGTGTGTGTGTGTGTGTGTGGTGTGTGTGTGTGGTGTGTGTGTGTGTGTGTGTGTGTGTGTGAGTGCGCGTGCGTGTTTCGAAGGCGACTTGCGAGGGAAGTGTGCCAGGATGGCACAAGAACTCTGAAAGCCTGAAGGAAGACGGCTGTCTTTCGCTTTGCGGTTTTTGCGGTGTCGGGCTGAGGGGCCCGTCAGGCGACGAAAATTCCATTTGCATGTCAGGCCGTGGGTCTTTGCTCTCATGATCGTGGGCCTCCTGACAAAGGCGGTTTAGGGGTTGGGGTTTAGGGTTTAGGGTTTAAGGGGAAAAGTAGATGGCAGGGCCCTGCTAGGTTGGAACCGTGCAAAAGGGAGATTTGTCGTTGCAGCGAAGCAGCTGCACCATGCTACTGCCCTCCCTGTAAACTATAAAAGCCTTCATGGCTAGAATAAGGTGATGGGGGGGTGCTTTCTACTTTAGCTCTATTAAGGAACCCTGAGGAATAATATTGATGTTAGTCCGACCCCTAGATTGTGCAGGAGAGCTGCCAGCATGTCCGGTGTGAAGAAAAGAGAGTCCCACTCTTGGTTCTGCCGCCTCGGAAAAGAATGGCAACTCGTTGCAGGGGGCTTGCAAAGGTTGTTGGGCATTGCATTCTAGCTGCTACTACACCCGAAACCCCAAGCCCCAATACTCCGGCTCAAATAAACGGCCGAATCTGATACCGTTTTTGTGGGCGATATCACTACAACCGTCGCGATAATATCCTGTCCGACTTTTCCAGGCGAGGAGAAAGACCGCATGATAGCGTCCCGGATGCTGGGAGGCAAGGCACGGCGGTGATTTCAGCCGCGAGGTCGGCACTCGCATGTGCTTCCCAGGTTTAGACTTTTAGGTTTGATAGGGTTTAGGGCTTAGACTGCGGAGTTGGTCAGAGGGATGGATGATGGAATGGGCTGCAGGGCTTTCGGATATAGATGCGGATCGGAATCATCCAACACACTGCGCATACATGATCGGTCTGCTGCCCCGCAACAAGTGTGTCTATATGAGGGGCGCTTCTGATGGCACCTGTAGGTCACCCCATCCCCGATGTTCCCAACGTAGACGTCTTCCCGACCCAGCAGCTGAAAAAATCCTACACAAATGCAAAACTCTCTCACTGGCCGCGTCAGTGGCGCTTTGTAGAGCCACCTGCTTCAAACACCGGGTCCGCCATCCACCTCGCTGCCTTGCTCCTTACTTCCACCAGATCAACCCAAACAGAAAAAAAGTGGTGCCTTCCCCACACAGAGGCAACACAAACAACTGTGGTAGACGGGGTTAGGAATATAATGCTCCGTATTGCTCCGCCTCGGACGCATCCCGAAGAAACGCGCCAAGTGACTCCAAAGCCCAAGCCCCAAATCTGGGACCCATAGTGTCTCACTCAAACCCAACCCCAGGCCACTGGGTTTTGGATTCAAAACTTTAAGGAATTTAGCGCCGAATTGTTAGTCGTAGAAGCTATGTCATGACTCCTCCTGCAGGGGCTCAGGACGGCAGAACTCGACTCAACCGAGTAAGAGGGGTTGGCTTAGGTAGGGGCTAGGGTTGAGGGTCCGCCACTGCATCTGCCCAGGGCACAATCCCAAAACCCTACCCAACACCCGCACTAACCCTCAACTACAAAAACCTTGGACCTCGACCCAAACACCGAAACCTCCAACAAAGGAAACCTCCTCAGCCACGACTGAGGAGATCTGCAAGTCTGCCGAACTCTCGCATGGCCTTAGAGTCCTAAGCATGTCCCCTCATGGCTACTTTTGAAAAGTGGCAAAATCACTATGCTGTGTTTACCAATTATCAGAGTCTTCTGGCAATCATCGCACGGTGCGGTCTCAGGCATCGCAGATCGTAAGAGTTGCTAGAAGTTGATGGAAAAGCTCTTCAACTCGGAGGCTACGACCTTCCGCAGCCCTGAACCCTGCACCCTACTTAAAGGCTCACGGGACCTAGGAAGGTTCTAAGTAAGGTGATACTTAGGACCTAGGATAGCCCCACTGAGACTTATGACTCCAAAAAATAACCCTACCTACTTAGTCCCTTGAGCCCGCAAGTAGCAGCGCCAAGCCCGGCCTAGTAGCTAGTGGCCAAGAAGTTCGACAAAGAATCGATACGTGCCTCGCTTGCCAGGGCGGGGGAAATGTGTGTTCTGGGTTCAAGTTAGTTCCGGGCCGATTTTTTTTGACAGTTTCGACAGGGCGGGAAGTCTGATTCAGGCATGCCAACAATTGCAAAATCTCACTATGCAGTAGAACAACCGAACGGGTCACAATCTGTTTATAAGCTTCCAGCTCAGCACGCGATTAAACAGTCAATTCAAGGCGAAGGGGCAATGAACCACAACTCGTTGTATGGGCTCCGGTATAAGAGCCCCCTTCGAAGTCCCTTCGAAAATCGCTTCCTGAGCAGGTAACTCCTCAGCATCTGCGGCATCATCTGCCTTTTTTTCGTGGAGCAAGGCCGACAAGCAGCCAACTTAAGCCAAAATCCTACACCCCGCTCTAAGCTCCATTTTCTGAGTTGCCGAAGCACGGCTTTTCAGCCAGACTTGGCGGCGCTGATGGCGTCGACGATGTCCTCCAAGCGATCGTCGAAGAGATCCGGTTCAGGGGTTAGGGCTTGCTGAGCAATATTGTCTGCAATCATCGCTGAAAGTTCTGCGACTACCATACTGCTGCCACTAGTATGTACTATCATATGTTCTTTAATGTATACTAGAAAAAGTACCATAAGCGTTCTTGCAACATCTAAGTCTTCTCGCTACTCTGCCAGGTGAGCAGCAGGGCGTGCCTGCAGCAGAAAATCGGTTGTCGGACAATATCCGAAATCCAGGCCCGACGGCCCCCCGACAGAACCCGTCATGAGAAAACCCTCCGCGCCAGCTGGGAAATTGTCCAACAACTGTACGAAACAAAACGACAGTCTCAATTCATGCTCAGGATACCTGCCTCAGCTGCTACGCGAACAGGAAAGAAAGACAGCTTCAACCCTAAACCCTAAACCCTAAACCCGCTTGCTTCTCTACGCTTCTTGACTGGGCCTTCGGGCTCACAACCCGAAGCTAAGTTTCGGGTTTCGGCTCTCACACTCGGACAATCCAGGCGAGGCGAATGATGAGTCAATAGGGTTGAGGGCTCAGAACCTCCCTAAGCCCCAGCACCCTAAAAGTCAAAAACGAACCTCCGATCCTCGACCCGAATTCTCTAACACTCCAGGATATAGAATCGGGGTTTGGGGTATTTTCTCTACTATGGTTCCATGGCGGACCATTAAGGGGATGCTATTACTACTTCTTCCGACCCTCCTGTTAATCCTCTTCACCACCTTCGGAAACCACTGTTAAGGAACCCTTTCAGAAAGGAGCCTTTCTTGAACCGAGGCCGGAAAGCTAAACCCTACAAACCCTAACCTTTTTTCAAAGAACCCTTCAGTATTCAAGGCACCCTCTCCGGAACCCTTCAATATTCAATTCACCCTCTCCGGAACCCTGAACCCTAAAACCCTCGATAAACTCATTTCAAGGCACCCTCTCCGGAACCCTGAACCCAAATCTTGAACCCTAAACCAACTAAACCCTAAACATTCAAAAACAAAACCATAAACCCATTAAACTCTAAATCTTAGACCCTAAAACCCTAAAGCAATCAACTCTTCCGGCCCCTAACCTCCCAAGAACGGCGTCCTTGAACTCTGGCTTCCTTGCAGTCTCCGGGGGGTTTAGGGTTTAGGGGTTTGGGGTTTGGGTTTAGGGGTTTAGGGGTTTAGGGGTTTAGGAGTTAGGAGTTTAGGGGTTTAGGGGTTTAGGGTGTTAGTGGTTTAGGGGTTTAGGGGTTAGGGTTTAGGGGTATAGGGGTTTAGGGGTTCGGGGCTTAGGAGTTAGGAGTTTAGGGGTTCAGGGGTTTAGGGCTTGGGGGTTTAGGGTTTGGGGGTTAGGAGTTTAGGGGTTTAGGGTTTAGGGGTTTAGGGTTTAGGGGTTTAGGGTCTAGGCTTCCTTCCAGGTCTTAGGGTTGTTTTTGACACTCACACTCGGACAAGCCTGACAAAGTCTGTAGCGATACTGGTCAAAGACAAAGCAAGAGAACTCACAGTAGGTTTTCACTGGTTGAGTCTTAGGCTTTCGGGTTTATGCTCTCGCAACTCGGACTCCGCCAGACGAGGTCTCTGTGTTAGGGTTTAGGGGTTTAGGGGTTTAGGGGCCGTCTTGACTTGAAAAAGCAATCGATTGCTGGAGTCTTCGGGTTTATGGGGCTTGGTTTTGGGAGTTCGGACCGTATGGGCTTGGGGCCTAGGGTCTACTGAGGGTTTAGGGCTTATAGGGTTTAGGGATCTTTAGGGCTTATAAGGCTTATAGGTTTATTGGGTTGATAGGGCTTCTGGGGGTTTAGGGTTCAGATTTGATCAGCCTCTTTCGCCTGGAGATGCACAACCTCTCCAAGAGTTTCAGGCTCCTGGAGGCTTACGTTTCTTTGGGCCTATCTATTTAGGGTTTAGGGTTCTAGTTCACGCAAGGTGGCCCTGGGCACCAATTTCTGTCGATTCCTCTCCGTCCGGAGAAGTGTCTGTGGACCTACTTGCGCCTGCATGTACCATGTCTCCCTAAACCCAGGATCCGAAACCCCTAAGCCATAAACCCTTCTAGACCAGAAGCCCTAAACCCTAAACCCTGAAAGCAGGGCGTTTAAACCCCTAAGATCTAAAGTCGGAAACCTAATCCCTGAGCCGGACTTCTGCCTAGCTCGCACTTCTGCGCATGGGCAAGTTCAGGGTTTAGGGTTAGGGTTAAGATGGTTTAGGGTTTAGGGCTGAGGGTTTAGGGCTGAAGGCTTAGGTTTGACCGGACCTTTTTCCTCCCTGCAGAGAGAAGGCTTGGGTTTAGGGTTTAGCGTCCCTGAAAGTGTTCCATGGTTTCTGGGAGTCCTGCCTAGGATTAACATAGGGGTCGGAATGAGTAGCAAGAGTACAGCGACTGTACATACCAATAGCTTCAACAGGATCTGTGAGTAGCATGCCGCACTGCAAAGCATTGAGATGCTTGTGATTTGTCAGCTCGGCAACTGCTGCCGGAAAGCTGTAGCACCCTAACCTAGTACGGAAACCGCATGTATTTCTGTAAAATAACAGCAAGGGCCATAATGTACAAGCAACAATACAAAACAGATCTGTATCACCAGTCAAAAAGATAGCAGAGTATTTCGATTCTAGCAATTGCATTTAAAAGTGTGGGTGTGTATGTGTGTGTATATATATATATATATATACAAGTAAGCACGATAACAAAATTAACAAAAACAAGAACAATGACATTAGTAGCACTGATATAATGATAAAATCAAAACAATGGACAAAACTGCAAACATAAGAATGACAACAAGAAAAACAATGATGGTACTGTTGCAAATCGTGGTAAGAAGCAAATCATACCCGTCACAGTCACAATATTCATAGCAACGAGTATGCATAATCGTGAGCAAAGCGTGGCAACAAAAAGCAGTAATAATAACAATAGCAATAACAATCATAGAAACAAGAAGAGGCAGTAATGACACAAACGG